GCCATGCTGGCTGGGGAATTCTGGGAGTTGAAGTCCACCCATCTTAAAGTTGGAACCAAGCTCCACTCTAGTGGCTAAACAGGGATGAGAAAAACTTTTCAAATTCAAAATGGTTTCAAGCCCAGAACAGTTGTTTTGAATTCTAGTCTTGCTGTTCTGAACATTACTGCCCGTTGCTTCTAATTTCTAGACCTGGATCTTTTAAAATAACACTGGTTACGGAAACCACGGTGGGAGATCAGAAAGTACAACCTCCGCCTTCAGAAATCAAGGCAGCTAGACCTCCAATCTCTAGAAACCCTACTCAGCTTCTCTCCAGAAGTTACGATCTCACCATTTTACAATCTATAGCTTTATTGAAGCATCACCAAAAGAACGGTTTATATTCGAAAGTGCCCCTAAGAATGGAGCCGACCTGTTCTCGGCAGAAACAAAAACCCTGCTTCCTTCTTTACGTGGCAAGAAAAAGGGAAGAACATAAAAAAGGGCCAGGCTGATCTTTTACAGCTATAAAAACGTGCTCTGAATAAAACATAGAGAGGCAGAATCCTACATGTCCACACCTAGGACTTCAAGGGAAATGCGTGGGAGAGGCTGGGTTTTGTTTAGATTCATGGCCAGGGGAGAACAGGCATCATCACAGAGTGTGCTGCTGACAGATATTGTTGTGAGTCTGTGTTGTTATTTACTGAAAATTGGAGGCCTGGCAAAACCATGGTGAGCTTATAGAGTTAGTCCTCACTTAACAACAATTTGTTCAGCTACTGTTCGAAGTTACGACAGTGCTGAACAAATGGTACTCATACCTGGTCCTCGAAGTTACAACCGTTGCAGCGCCCTCCCCCTGCAGTCACGTGATCAAAATTTGGGCGCTTGGCAGCCTGCCTGCATTTACGACCACAACTCCCCCCCCATCTCCGCCCTTTTGGCCACCCTGCACTCTGCCGTCACCAGCTGACCTTCACCATTTTTTTCCTCCTGCTCTAACAAGGCGCACCTTGTCAGCAGTGGGAGGAAGAAGACGGCAAAGGTAAGCTGGGGGGGCAGGAGGCGGTGGAGTGCAGCGCAGCCAAAAGGACAGAGATGGGGAAGAGAAAAGCAGGTGGGAGGAGTTGAAGTGGAGGCAAGCACAGCAGGGCAGGAGAAGTGTGAGGTCCTGGCCTAACGACTGCAACCAGGACTACTGAAACTGCTGTTGCCAAGTGGTGTGGTTATGTGATGTTTTGCCTAATGACTGTATCGCTTAGCGACAGAAATTCCAGTCCCAATTAGGGTTGTTAAGCGAGGACTACCTGTATGGTCCTGTCTCTGCCAGAAGCAAGTTACTCGTGCTTCTGAAACAGTGGCTTCTCCATCAGAGTCCCCAATGCAGGCAGAGTCCAGCTCCCATTAGCTTCAGCCAGCATGCTCAAGGTTCAAAAGGACAAGAGTTATAGTCCAACTGCAACTAGGAAGTCACGCTACACATTGTAAACTTGGCTTTACCAGAGGTAACAGAAAAGGAACATCTGTAGTCATAGCAAGAGGACTCCAAAGCATACCACTCTCAAACATTTCCAGAATGTAATATAATTTAATGTATGATGCACAATTTATTTTAGTAGATTTATGTTTGGGACAATCAACCCTGATAGGTATCCCAGAAGGCAACAGAGATTGAAAATTCACCCCCAACCAACAGAAGCCAAATTCACCTGGCTTCTGAGACGTCCACAGATATTGCACCAAAACAGCACAATTGGATGGGCTAGAAACTTGATGTTTATTGAAATATTTATGAAAGCTGAAGCTTTGAGGGAGCCCAATCCTACACCCATGCCCTATCCTATGCTTTATCCAGTGCTCCCAAGAATATAAGAAGAGGTGTGCTGGATCACAAGAAAGGCTACATTCCTATAACGGCCAGCTCAATGCTTCTAGAAAATCAGATGAACAAAACAGGGCTCCCTGTGTTTCCTGAAGTCTCCTTTAAAGCATCTAAAATGCACTTGCGTGTCATGAGCAAGAGTGAGTTAGCTATTTGCCCTGCTCGCTGCTAACCATCAACTCCTTCGGTGGTTTGTTTATCCTAAAGGTGCCAGCCAGAACTCCCAGCTTGTCTCTCCCAAACAAGCTATGAATATGAACCTGAGAACAAATCATAGCTTCTAACTCTGGCTTATTACAGAAGAACAAGCCAAAGGTCCCAGTTTGTATGCTGCAGTAGGTGGTAGCGCCTTGGCGACTCTGAATGATTCCTAAAAAGCTAACTGGAGTTGGATCTGGTTAGTACTTGGTTGGGAAACCCCTGGAAAATCTCAGGGCTGTAAACTAGACTGAGAAGTCAACACTATTTCAGAAGAAGGCAGTGGCAATTCCTTTCCTGCATTCCCAAAATATCAAATTTTGCATCCTCCTGTTGAACAACATGCACTACCATGCTGTTGATTCAAGGCAGACTAGAATTCTTCATCATGCTAGCTTATGGTGGCATGTGGCAATTCCTCTGGAATCACATGTGTCTGCAGACCAGGTTGGTTAACCTTAACAAACAACAACATCCTATTCACCTTGCATCAGCTCCCAAAAAAAAGGTATGGTTGCAAGTGAATAAAGGAATGGGATTTATATCTAAGCAAACATATAGAAAACCTTCTCCAATCTGGTATCCTCCAGATAAGTGTGTTGCAACTTGCAGAATTCTCCATCTCAATGTTTCTCAACCTTGGCAACTTTAAGATGTATGGACTTCAACTCCCAGAATTGCCCAACCAGCATTCTGGGAGTTGAAGTCCACACATCTTAAAGTTGCCACGGATGAGAAACATTGCTCCATGTTGTTTGGGGAATTCTGAAAATTGCCATCTGAATATCTTGGGAAGTTGAAGCAGAAGGTTGTGTTGATTTCCTATAGCCCCAACCAGCATGACCAATGGTGAGGAACACTCAAATCTGTTGTTCAGCAACATCTGGAGGGTTACAGGTTCTCTATCCCCCATATCAGAAGACTAGAGCTAATCATGGCTCATGCAATGAGAATAAGTAAGGCTGCATTAAAATGAAATGCAGACAAGAGAATATAATGTTTCCAGAATAACGTTACTTATAGTACTATAACATGTTATAACAGATTTCCACAGAAAAGGTAGGGAATCTTTCTGTTTTTAAATTTCTGCTCTATTACACTTGCAAAAATTATACATTTCAATATGAAGCTGATTAAATACACCTGCCATGTATGATTCTATGTCTACTCTCTACCTCCTTCCCTAATAGACAGATTTTCTCCATGAAATACAGCTATCTATCTACCTGGTTGCTAAGAGTCAAAAACGACTTGTTGGCATATAATCAATCAATCGCTGTATTTTCAGAGAACAAAATGAATAAGTAAAAATCAAATGCTTGTTCTAAATATGAACGGTAAGTTTCCACCTTACATATTTTTTCTATACAACAATTGGTATAATTGTAAGTCTGAATTTTCAAGTTAAAACAATACGCTTGTCTATTTGAGGGAGGTTTAAAAAAAAGAGAGAGAGAAAATTACTCTCCTGTGTGGTCCTTTGTTAGATATTCCATCAATCTGATTATAGCCCACACAGAACTACGGCTTACACTTAAACCAACCAATGGTTCAGATAATATGCCCACCTCTGTTTGCATCCTTACGTTTAGAGAAAGGGGGTTTTCTGTTTTCAAAGCCTTCATTGAACCTGTGGATTCGTTTGTGTCTCGAAAGATTCGAGCTCCACTTGAAATCTCTGCCACATTCATCACATACGTAAGATTTTTCTCCCACGTGGACTCTCAAATGTAAAAGATGAGTTGATAATTTATAAGTTTTATGTCCACATTTCGAGCACGTGTATTTTCTCTCTCCTTGGGGCGCTTTTATCCTTTTCACAGATTTTTTCCCCCTCTTGTGTGTTTTTTGATGAATTTTGAGGGAGGAGGGTTGGATGAAGATTTTCTCGCAATCGGGGCATTTGTAGGGCTTTTCATTTGGGTGAATTCTCTTGTGCCGCACGAGATCAGACAGATAATAGGTGCGATGCCCACAATCGAGGCACTCGTGCTTCCTCTCACGATCTTCGTATCTGCTTTTTTTCATCACCACATTATTTCTCTTATGCTGAGCAGATTTTCCTTTTCCGCTCCATTCCCTGGAACGTAACTTAGCTGAAGACTCCATCTTGGAAGACTCAGAACTCGGAGAAGCAGCAGCTGGGCCATCTTCAGATGATCTCTCTAGAAGATCTTCCAATCCCACTTCTTCCCGCTGAGGAATTTTTGGTAAGAAGTTAATCAACTCCTCATCATCTGTGGGGATATAGAAATTATTCAGATTATGGGAAAGCTGTTCATGGAGAACAGGGGAAAAAAAGGCAAAATGAGCCTTGATTTGATAATTCATTAAGCAGCAACCATGGATTTTCAAGTTTGTTTGTGAAGCCAAAATAATGTAACAAATGTATTTTCTTACTCTGAAGTCAAATCCAGCGGCTGTGTTTTACTCCACTGCCCTCAAGCTCATAACCGCTCTCCTTACTCACTGTGCATGCTGGGTCCTAAATTAAAGTTACTGGCTTTTTACTTGGTGGCTTTTCTTCTGAAATTTCTAAGAATGTAATGAAATTTTGCTGGATAGCAATTGCATTAGAAGGCTCTGAGACTGATTCTTATATTGAACTTCCATACACATGCATCTTTATTTTTTAAAATTTTATACTATTTTACTCTTATTTTTATTGAGAGCTATTAGAATATTATCACTAATCTCTTTCTGTAACCTGCTTCTTCTTGTGTGCTATTATTATTTTGGCCTCTGGCTATAAATTAAGAAAGTTAATTCTACTCTTCTCAAGGCACTGAATTCTGACTGGACCGAGTAACTGCAATTTGGCCCTCCATGCAAGAACCAAGGAAGGTTCATCTGGACATTCAATGGAATGCCTAAAATCAGAAAACAAACCAGCAGTTCTCCTATAGCACCATTTTAACATGCCTTTAAACGTGGGCCGTTTGAAAAAAATGAATCTGCAAAGCAGTATGTAAAATGGACCATTTAAAGCACCAAGTGAATTATGATCTTTCTACAACTGCCTTTCCAGGCAGGATACTGTTAACCCTATGGAAAAATGGAGCAGGCCAAGATTAACAATTTGTTTCTGACCATCCTGGAAATTCCCATCAGGGACAGGATTTGAATAAAAAATCTTAACCGCTTGGCCTCAGGGGTAGGATAGTGTTATAATGCTAGAAATTGTGAGTTAATCAGGCAAGTCAGTTCCCACCTCTGGCATATATTATGACCACCCCAGGAAATGGAATTCAGCCTAGCCACAGGCAAACCAAGAGGAGGATGCGTGAGCAAGAACCGATGGCATCTCTTTAATGCTACTGGACAAGGACACTTTAGCCAACAACTGACCCAACGGTGTTCCTGAATATAGCTCTCACATTTGTAAGATTTATATCCTGCCTTTTGTTCAAGAGGTCAAAGATTACTCTTTTAGATAGAAAGCAAACACTTTTGGGCAGAGACACACGTCAATGTTATCCATTCATTTATTAACATGGGAAAAAGTAGAATCATTGAATCAGATGGAACTTCTACAGTCTTTAGTCCAGTGTTTCTCAACCTTGGCAACTTTAACATGTGTGGACTTCAAGTCCCGGAATTCCCCAGCCAGCATTCTGGGGGTTGAAGTTAACACATCTTAAAGTTGTCAAGGTTGAGAAACACTGGACTAGTCCATCAAATTCCTGAGCAATGGCTATTGGACCTCTGTACTCCCACTGTTGAAACTAAGCTCTACTGACTTCAAAGACCAGATGAGGTCAAACCAAGCTCTGGCCTGTGATTTTTAGATTTGCACTATTTCTCCAAGACCTCGCTGTTTATTGACTTCTTCTAACTCAATGGACCATGGACTGAATCTGCGATCTACGTGCAAACAAGCATTCTTAACTGATCTACGGGCTACCTTGTGATTCGTTATTTTCCTACTTCCGGGGTCAGTCATCTGACTCTTGGTGGCTTTTCATGTTTGGCATGAGCCACAAAGCCTCCCCAGAGATGAAGCAATAACACATAATAAATTTGATTTTCAGTTTACCTCATAAAACTAAGGAAAAAGGGGGAAAAAAGGGATCAGATGTCCCCCGATTACCACTTTGAATGCCTTGTTCATAGAAAAAAGTAGGATTGAAATATTTTACATTTAATAATGACACCTAACTTCTACCCACCACTAAGCGTAACATCACATTCTGCAATAACAGCGTTGGGCACAGGCGTTTGCTGACTGGATAGATGGATCTGCTGATGTTTGGTGAGGGTTGAGGACCATCCAAAGGACTTCCCACAGTCCAAACATTTGTAAGGTTTTTCTCCAGTGTGGATTCTGAAGTGTTTAACAATGTCTGATAATCTTTCGGCTTGGTATCCGCATTTTGTACAGGAATGCTTTTTCATCTTTTGAAGTTCTGAGGCCTCGTTGGCCTTCCCCAGAAGATGAGCCTCTTTGTCCTGACAGCCTCTCGAAGAAGGCTGATCGTGGCAAACTTGACGTACTCCAACCTCGTCTTCCAATTTGATCTTTTCCTGCAGAGGAGCCATATTTCTTGACGTCTCTTCACCTATAAGGACAATAAACAATTTAGATACGCAATGCTGCGAACCTTATCAAGTCCAGCTAATAACAGCTGATCAACTTGCTGCTTAAAATCAGTTAGAGTGAAATTAATGCTAGAAAGTGAATACATGCCATAATAAACCTGGGAGTGTATCAGCACGAAAACACTTTTTACCAATTTTTTCTCAAGGGCAGACAAAGCAACAAATTATTGTTTAATTGGAATCTTAGCTTGTGAAAGTACTTGGGAATGGTTCTAATTTAATAATATAGACATCTGCATTTCAGAATAAGATCCATCCAGGAACTAAAAGCAAGGGAAGATAAAATGACCTTTTGATCAAAAGAAGGAAAAAGAACTTGGCCTTTTACCTGCTTTTATGAAGATCCAATTTTTAAAAAATGGTTCAGTAGGAGAATATAAGTGGAATGTGTATTATAGATTTCTCAACCTGCCATTATTTATTGTTAAAAACTTTAATTTTATAACAAAGGAGTTAAAATGAAGAGTTAAGATGAAGCTGAAATGATTCACTTTTACAATTTAGTTATTCAATTTGTTAAGGCAGCCCAACTTCAAAAAGTCTCTGGGTGGCTTATAATATCCAATATGTGAGTCAAAAAAACAAAATTAAAACAACCTGACTATCTAGAAAAAATCACAGCAATAACATCCCCCCAAATTTGATGGGACTCCAGAGATATCCTAACCCCAGCCTGGGAACAGTGCCAGGACTTCCAGAACCATTGGTAAGTAGGAGCCATATATATCTCCGGGGAATGCTGTTCCAGAAGGCATGGCTGTGACATTATGTCTAGATCCCCAGACTAAGTTTAGTGGTACTTCTGAACTTGTCAACCTGAATGAACTTTGTCATCTAGGGTTCTGGCCTTTCAGACTTTCAGAGACCCATCACATTTTGTTCCCAAAGAAGTTATGTCCCTTAATGGCTCTGATCTATGACAAATACCTCCTCAAATCTTAGTGGAAAAGAAAGGGATCCATACTGCAAGCAACTGTCCTACAGCAGGAGGAGGCAAGATTTTGGGGTTAAGGACACATCTAGAATATAAGGAGGGTGCGCTGGGTACCCAGTACCGACTGGATACTGGCCTATTCACAGAATATCTGCCATGAGGAACACAAGTTGAATAACCTTCAGGGATGTCCTCTACCCTCCCATTCAGACCTCTAAACCTTTATTCCTGCAAAGAGAGATAATGCTCAAAACGGATGCTTTGTCTTTGCAAGATACCTGATTCCTATTTCTAGTTATTTAATTACAAGGATGGGAAAGGGGGCCTGGGGATTAGGAGGGAACATACTGACATGTGCCACACTGCATATCCCTACAGTGTCAAATCATTAAGCTCAGAATAATGCTCCATCCATGCAAACTGCGGGACAGAAAATCTCACCCCATGCAGGGACATGCTTCAACTCCCATCACTGCATCAAACGAGTCAGGTTTTAAAGTGCTTCTATGTGCCTTTGAAACCCTCCATGTGTCTGGATGCCCAAGTTCTGGGATGAAATCAAAAGGGATACAAGATGAACTGTATGATCACAAACCTAAGGATAAACTGCACCTATCACTGAGGATACACGGAGTTTCCTCACCATTAGCATCTATCAAATTAACCTATAACTGGTGTAGACTGTGGAGTCCTTGGGGTTCTCTGAGCTCCACAAGCTCAGAGAACCCCAAGGACTCCACAGTTCAACGCCGAGCTACACATATTCGCCTCTACTGGTGTAGACTTTCATGGCCAGTATCTGTTGGGCAGTGCTGGGCTTCAGAGTTTAGGGACTGGGCTCCTGTCTTCCAGTCAGAGACCAGCCCTCACCAACCTGAACCAATAGGAAACTGGCTCAGTTAAAGGCCAATCAGAAGTCAGGATACCTGGCTGTAAGGACAGAAGCCCAGTCAGTCCCTGGTCAGTTACCTGTGGTCTGCATATCAGACCACTTTGCCACTGAAAATGCCACAGTTGCTGGCAAAACATCAGGAAACCTGTTGTCTAGACCATGGTTACTAAACCCTGAAGCCCAACACTGTCCAGCTTAACCTAAAATTTATCACTGAGCGGAAGAAAGAATAAGATGAATGACAACATTGCTATATAAAGACTGATAGGTTTTCTCTGCACATAATGAACATTTTACTGGTGAGCATTCCATAATGAAAGAGGAAAAGAACAGGAATGTTGGCAAAGATTCTGAAGAGTTCTACCTATACTGGCATGGAATGGCAAGAAAATTGCTCTTTTTTTAATAATAATTTTATTAGAGATTGCAATTGAAAAGATAAAAACATACAAACTAAAAAAACTATAAAAAATTAGTGCAGAAAAGAAAAAAAGAAGAGGAAAGAAGAGAAATAGAAAAGAAAAAGAAAAAAAGAAATATATAAAGAAGTAACTTCTCCTTTCATCACAAGAAGTATAAACAATTTTAGTAACATATCACCTTCTCTTAAAATACAACAAATGCTCTCTTCTTCCCACATCTCATCTCTTATCTATAAACAAAACTTTAAAGCCTCATTGTTCAGTCCTGGTCAGCAAAAGTCCATTAAAGGTTACCAGAGATAACTACATATCTATTTTAACCTTGATCAAATAAAACAACTTTATATTTCTTCCCTTTACTTTCAACAATCTTGGTTTTTAATCCCTTCAAATATGTAGTGTCCAAGAACTTGATTTCTTTTCATTTTTTCTGTATCCCTTCTCAGAAAGTCCTTCAAAACTTTAACAGGTCTCTTTTGTAAATCCAGTATAGAAAAGTCATCCAAATCACTCTTCTGGTTTGTTATTTGTATGTCTCTTTTAATTATTAACACATCAACCAGTTTCATTTGTACATCCAATACATCATCTTTTTCCATATCATTCTTGTAGCTTGTCATTTTTAAATCCACATTCAAATCAATTTCATTCTTATCCAGTAGAGCTTGTTCCTCTTCTGTAACATCATTTGCACACCATCTATCCATGATAACAGACATTCTTAAAATTAACTTCTGAGTCCACTGCTCACAAATATCCTTAAAAAAGTCCAATGTTAAAGTATTTTGCTCCATTCTGTATTAAAGCATTCTTCTCCTTTAATTGTAATATTTAGTTTCTTCTAGCTCCCTCTAGTGTCCAACCTTCAAAGTCCCATCCTATCATGTTTTTTTCTAAGGAATCCAAACAGCACCAGTTTCCCATGGGAAGAATTCTTATAATTAATTTCAAAGTTTTATTTCAAATCTATCCAGGCCCTTAGTCTATTTTTAACTTTCCAAAATCAACACTCTAAACACCCTTTTGCTGTTTATTCCAAAAAGTAAAATTTTTCTAAATCCTTAAACTTGTACTTGAAACTTTGTTCGCTGAGAAGGGGACTCACTCAGTGAATGCAGTAAAAGCTTGCCGTTCCGAAGGTTCTTAATATTTAAAAAGCAGTAAAAAAATAATTCCAAGTGTTAAGAAATGAGGCTTGGTCAAGTTTTATGTCCACATAGGCTATGTTATGACTGTCAGCTCAGATGCAATCCCTTGACTCCCAGCTGCTTGCATAAGCCGACCACTAAAAACCTCCGTTCCTGCAGTCTACTCACAGAGAGCTGTCTGGAGTACATGTGGGCAATCTCACACTCTCTCCTTTCTCCGGAGAGATGTCGCTGGCCACAATCCAGCATCTGGCCAGCCAATCTCCACTGTAAACTCCGTCCCAGCTCCTTCAGGGACGTTTAACTCGCCATGTCACCGGAATTGCAAGAAAATTGCTCTCAATGTATGAATGCCAGATTAAATATAAAGGGGAGCATAATAAAAGAGAAGGAAGAATGATTAGTTATCAGCCAGGTCATCACACCTACCTCTGCAGGTTTTCTTCTCTTCTGCAAGAAAGGTATCAGAAACGGGCATCTTTTTAGGACATGCATTGCCTTTCCGATGTTGATAAAGATTAGATGACCACCTGAAGGCTTTTCCACATTCAGGACAATCGTAGGGTTTTTCTCCTGTATGGACTCTCATGTGTTTAATGACTTCTGAAAGCTTTTCAGCTCTATGATCACAATCAGGGCACTTGTATTTCCCTTTCTGAGGGCTTGGAAGTTTCTTCAGCGTCACCTTTAAGGTTTTCACCCCATACAGATGAGAGAGCTCCAGCTCTTGAGATTTCCTTGGACGCAGCCTTGAAACAGGGTTAGATTCGTTGATCTCAGCACTCAGCAAAACAGTGGAAGACTCTCCTGGCAATTCCAGCTGGGACTTTTGCTCCTGCGTAGAATTACTTTTGCCCTTATTTGATTCACTGGCACCTACGGGAACAAATAGATTGATATACAACCACCTGCATTAGGAATGAAAAAAAAAAGGAATGGAGACAGACATATGGAAGGTCAACTGAGTAACATTAACTGAACAAGTGAACTGAAAGGCATCTAAAATCAGAGGAAACATCCTGTTTCCAAAGTGGTGTGAAGGATCTGATGGCTTGCAAGCTCCATCCTCCTTACCCTTTAACCCCAGGAAGGGTTATAGAAATGCATTGCCTCTAAGTTGGAGTGGCACTCAATGCTGCCTATTCACCCAAGCCAGCCATTCCAGAAACCAACAAGCCACCATACATGCAAGAAACATCATCTCTGCCCTATCCTGCTCAGCTTCCTGCTCAAGGCTAGAAAGTTACTTTCTGAGAAAGATCATGAACAATACTCTTAGGATGTTGAACTCTGGCCCTAGCTGATCCTTTGACCATAGCTGATGGACATCAGAATCAGCTTTGAACTTCTGCACTTCTTCCTTCCCAGGCAGCTATACATGCATATAAACCCAGGTCTTGTTCAGGACCCTGCAAAACAGATTTAAAAAATGAAAAATCACCTATGATAACAAGATATGAAGCTTAAATGATATCATGGATCCAGGCCTTCCCCTGATCTGGATCTGATGGATGGAGGGATCCTTAGCTGATCTAGTCTCCCACCTGTACTGTGATGAGAGCACAAAGTATTCTAGATTTAGGCCACGGACCATATGACCCATCTTTGCTTTCTTTACCCCAGCCTTTCCCAATTTGCTGCTTTCCAGAGACTGAGTCCCCATAAGAGGAGGACTTGGCTATGCTTACTCGGGCTTTTATCACTATGAGACTCTGATTATGTGCTATTAAGTCAGTAGTGACTGCTAACAACCACATAGATAGACCTTATCCAGGGTGATGTGTCCCCAACCTGCCCTTTCAAGCCTTCCAACAGTGAAACCATTGCTGCTATAATTGAGTCCATCCATCTTGCTGCTGGTTGTCCTCTTCTCTTTCCTTTCACCTTTCCCAGCATTAGAGCCTTCTCCAGAGAGCTGGGTCTTGGCATAATGTGTCTGATGTAGGATAATTTCAGCCTGGTCCTTTGTGCCTCGAGTGAGAACTCTGGGTTGATTTGTTTGATGATCCATTTGTTTTCTTGGCTGTCCACAGTACTCTCTGTAGTCTTCTCCAACACCAAAGTTCAAAAGTGTCAATACTCTCTCTATCCCACTTCTTCAAAGTCCCACTTGCAGTTCCATCGTGTCACAGGGAAAACCACTGTTTGCGGGATTCTTATCTTACCAAGTGATGAGACTACTTCAATGCATTCTACGCGGGACTGCCTTCAAAGACCACTGCAACAGGTCCAAAATGCAAATGCCAGTTTTTGACTAGTACCAGTCATTATAACCATATGACACTTACCTTGAAGATCCGGTATTAGCTACCACTAAGTCGCCAGGTGCAATTCAGAGTGCTAGCATACAGCCTTATACGGGGTGGCATTATGGCATCTGTATTATGGATCAGCCTCTCCGCAGAATTGAGACTGATTTTCTCTGTGGTGGCCTTGCAGAAGCTTTTAAAAAACAAGCTCTTCCAGAGAAACTTCAGAGAATGACTGCTCACCATCTTTACCCAGGCATTATTTATTATTAGCCACTATATTATTGATTTTCTCTTGTGGTATACTGTATTGTTTCGCTCTTATTTATTATTTTATTGTACTTCAGTATGTTGCCACAAGCCACCATGAGTCAAGAAGATTTGATGGCATAGGGAAGGGAGGGAGGGAGGGAGGAGTCCCCAAACAAGCATGCCCAAAGCTGAAGTGCAAAATATCAGAAGGACCATCCAACTGAGGAAGGCCAACAATACCATCATGAAATGGTCAGTCATCCAAAAAGCTATCCAACAACATAAAGGAACTAAGCCAATGTGTCAAGAATGCTTTTTAGACCATTGGCTAACTCTGTTAGAAAAAAAATGTTATGCTTTCTGCCAGTTCTAAATTACTTCTCAACTGTAATATTCTATTACACTCTGTAAGGTTTCCTGTCCATTTCTGAGAGCATATCTTTAGTATTTAAATAAAATGCCTCAATCCATGTGTCTCAGACCCACCTCTGAGCATTAACTGTCGCGAGGAAAATCTCCTGTACGTGTGGAGACCCCGATGCCTAGACAGGTTCGATCGCCACTTGAAAGTTTTGCCACACTCAGGGCATTCATAAGGTTTCTCATCTGTGTGGACTTTCATATGTTCGGTGAGGCCTGACTGTGTGCTTTTTATGACTCCACACTCAAAGCACACATATTCCTCTCTCATATGGCAGCTGGAGTTTCTTGTCTCAACCCTTTTTGTGCGTCTGGTGGAATCATCCAGTGGCAGGTGGATCTTCAGGTGATTCTCAAAATATGTCCTGCCTCGGTATGTTTTCCCACAATCAAGGCACTTATACAACTCTTTTGCTGCATGGCACTTCATGTGTCTTAGCAAATCTGAGTAATAATAACTTTTGTGCCCACACTCAGAGCAAGTGTGCTTTTTCTCCGGTGGGTAATATTTGCCTTTTTTCTTAAAGGCTCTTCTCCGACGTCGAGTGTATTTTTTCCTCGGCTCCCCTTCCTGTTGCCTTGGACACAGCTGTTTCTCAGGATCAAGGGGAGAAGCCTCAAGATTCAAGGAAATGGTGTCTGGGGATTCTTCTGTCAGGGCTTCAAATCCATCTTCTGCCTCTGAAACGGTTTGCTGAAAAGTCTCAATTTTGATCTCTCCTATGATTCTTCCACCTGATAGAAAGGACAAAAGAAACAAGAAATCACCTTCCTACGAGGAACCATACATTATGAGTTTGTTTCAGCTGAACAGTGAGGTGAAATGACATCAGGGAAACTTGTGCCATGAACTCATTCACAGCCTTAATAATCCCAGGGATCTATCTTGAATTTACAAATTGCTTTCACTTTCTGAAACCCAGCGTTTCACTGATCAGTAACAAGATGAATGGAAACAGTGGATAACTGGAACTGACACAACTCTAACGTGCATCTCTGGGGAACACCCCCAGGAAGTACATATAAGTTGTGCACAACGGAATAGAAATTAGCACTGTCCCATCTTTCTGCATTTGAGCAGACTGGAACCTCTCTGAAACCTACAGCATAATCAAGAATATCAGGAGTGCAGTGACAACCCCCTCTCCCAGCTTCAAACTCCTGCAAATCACCTCAAGGTCTCCCAAACAGACTGCATGCAATCTTCACTGCTCCCAAATCCTTGAGAAGCCATGTCTTAAAGTGATGAGGAAGGAGGGGGATTCAATAAGAAATGCTGTGTTCTTGAGGGAAATAAAGACTGATTCGGGGTAGATTTATCCATTTCTTTTTCCTAGGGTTTTTTTTTGGGGGGGGAGTCAATTTATTTTCTAAACAATGTAAAGCTTGCACTCTGTGCTTCACGCTAGTGCTCTATTGTCTTTTCCATCTCAAATGACGGGAAATGATGTTGCTGAATGGAGGCTGGCTGGGAATTGCAGGTTGCAGGTTGCTCACCAGCATTCGGACTGAAGATGGTTGCAACACCTACAGATGTTGGCTTAAGGCCATAAAACAAGAAATCGAGGGATAGATTTTTTCCTTTCAATCAGGATGATTGTTAGGCACACACACACTTACCAAACAGAGTGTCAGAGATTCGGTCTCTGTGTTCAGGTCTTTCCTGGAAGGTGGCTTCTGGTTGATCAGTTTGAGAAATGACTTCAGGCGTAGGAATCAAGAGTCCTTCTTAGGTGGAAACGTGAAGAACAGACAAAGGAGGAGAAAGAAAACAAACATACTGATGGGGAGTCAGGATAACTGGGAATTCTTGTCCCATCTGAAGGAAAATCATATTCTAGGACTCCTGGCCTAAAAGACTCCAGTGCTTGAGAAACTCAAAGGTAAATAAGGTTCCTCTGACTCTCTGGGACAGTGTCTCTCAACCTTGGCAACTTTAAGACATGTGGACTTCAACTCCCAGAATTCCTCAGCCAGCTTTGAAGTCTACACGTCTTAAAGTCCACACGTCTTAAAGTTGCCAAGGTTGAGAAACACTGCTCTGGGATTTGAGAGAAGCAATTTTGGAATTAATGACAACAATAGGGTTTGGTAGATGCACCAATCATTATCAAAAACAATACCGTCAAGAAACTGGAATGCTCAGAATTCCAAGCTGGCATCGTTTTGGTGGCACTAGTTTATCAGAATCTTCTTACACAGAAACAGCACAGAAGAGGAACAACAGCCCAAAGAAACAGGGCCAGACCGCTGGACAAGATGTTTAAGGCAACCCTGACACCCTTCTCAATGCAGACAGTGATCCTGGGCTTTTCCTTGCTTTCAGTTGCTTGAACTCACGGACAGCAAATGTGGGCCTGAGTATAGTAAGATGAGAGATACTCACCCAAAGCATTGGTGCTGCCGCCATTCTCTTGCATGACTTCCCAGTGTATGGGCTTCTGATCAAGATTTAGCTCATCCTTCACATCTACAGGCTCCTGAAAGAGGGAGGAATGCCAGGTTCAGTTCTGGTCCCTGAAGCTTTTCTTAAAAGACACACTAGCCACAGGACTTTGTCTTCTAACAAATATGGAATGACAATCAGAGCTCGAAGTGGACTGCATTAACGAGTCCACGTGAATTAAGTTTACTTCACTGCCGGCTTGAAATCCACCAATTTAAATTCAACGCTTGAAGCGCATTTAAAAAGGTGTTTTTTTTAAAGCCTTTTAAAAAGCCACCCAATATGACTAAGTCCCTCTACGCCAGAGGGAGGGGTTTCAGAGCACTGCAGCAGAAGCAGAAAAGGTATGATTCTGAGTCAAACCTGCAGCCACAGTGGGCGAACCTCCTCACATCATCTCAACCAGTTAGATTAATATATGATCACATACGATCAGTGAGATCAAGCAGAAAGAGGCGTTCTCTCAAGCAGCTCTATAGTTCTTTATAAGTAATAACCAGCACTTTGGATTTCGCCCACAAGCAAACAGAACCAATATAATCCTTTTAGAATCAGGATAATGTGGCTTATTTTTCTAGAAATCAACTTGGCTGCTAGATTGTGTAACCAAATGAACGTTATGCTTTAATGGGCTTTAGTAGAACCTGCAACACAATTTTAAGATCATTTTCTTCCAGAAAGAGACACAAAATTGATTAATGATGTTTCTAGCCATTGTTTCAGCTTGGGAGACAAAATAAATCTGAATTCAGAAGCTTCTTCAAACTTTGTACATACTCCTGGAAGAGTGTAACCCAGTTCAGAAGACCTAACCCCTCTCTGCGACTGTGACTCATCATCATGAGAACCTCCATTTTATCTGGATTTGTTTTGAGGCAATACATGATTTAATTGTTTTATTGTGAACTGCCCAGAGTCACTTATTGTGAGATGGGCAGTATCTAAATTTGAAAAATAAATAAATAAATAAGCAAGCAAGCTTTAGCTCTGTTTAAGCCAACCAAACCATACTGAGAGTCTACACACCTCGGTGGTGCCAACCCCAGTCATTTCCAGTCCTGCTGATGGATGGGCAAAGCCCGTGTTCCTTGCAGATGTAATTTCACTGGCTGTGAAACACAAAAACAGAAGTCAAAAAAGGAGGTGGAGAAAGGAAAAGAGAAAAAGAAGGAGTACTTTATTTAGCATCCACTGCCATCTTAGAATTGCAAAACATTAAACTCTCTAGCTCACCAGTGCTATTTTCATTAGCAGGTAACTTTTATTAGAAATTTTAACATAAGTAAAAGAGAAACATGAAAATATGTCAAGAAAAATTGAGAAATAGAAAAAAGATAAAAGAAAAAGTCCAGAGAACAGCACAGATAAAATGGAAAAAGATATATAAAGAAGCGACTTCTGATCTTCTTTACAGCAGTTACAAACTTATTATCCCTCCTCCGTCTTTAAGCTTACATTACATGGTTCCCTTCTTCCCACATTCAACCCTTTTTAATCAGAAAATCCACATATCGCCAATTTATTTTTTTCCATTTTCAGCAAAAAGTCCGTAAAGGGTTTGCTCATCAGTACCATCTTCTTTTCAGCCAGTTGGAGTAGACATGTTTTATGCACAACAGACTCTTAAGAATTTTCTTAAAAATGGCAAACTGAAGACGGCTCCAGTAAAAGTGGAGTTGACAACCGCGGTGGAATGAAGTGCCAGAGAGTGGGCAAGGAGAGGACCTGAGATCGCCCACAAGCGCTCCAGACAGTTGCTCCTTGTGAGGACTCTGCCGGACAGCGGCCTCTGGCGGGTTTAGAGCTCTGGAAGATGAGGGAATAGCCATCTTTTTGCTCCAACTGCAGTGGGCGTCTTCAAAAGGACACTGGGTTGGCATCCTTCCTTTTCTAATTACTTTTGGAAATTGCTTGTTAACTGCTTTTCAGCTATTAGGAACCTTCAGATTGAAAAGTTTTATAGCACTGGGTGCGCAAAAGAAGTTTTAAATACAAGTTTAAGGATTTAATTTTTTTTCTTTTGGAATAAACAGCAAAAGGGTGATTAGAACTTTGATTTTGGAAAGTTACAAAGGAGGATTTAATTTTTTTTCTTTTGGAATAAACAGCAAAAGGGTGATTAGAACTTTGATTTTGGAAAGTTACAAAGGGACTAAGGATCCAGATGGATTTGAAATAAGATTTTGGAATTAATTATAAGAATCCTTTCTATGGGAAAATGGTTTTATTTTGAATTCTCTTTAAAAAAATATATGATAGGATGAGACTTTGAAGGTTTGATACTAGAGGGAACCAGAAGGAACTAAAGCTTACAATTAAAAGCGAAGAATACTTAAATTTGACTTACTAATACAGAATGGAGCAAAATATTTTAACATTGGACGTATTGAAGGATATTTTTGAACAATGGACCCAGAAGTTAATTTTAAGTGTGACTGCCTCTATATGAGACTTTGAAGGTTTGATACTAGAGGGAACCAGAAGGAACTAAAGCTTACAATTAAAAGCGAAGAATACTTAAATTTGACTTACTAATACAGAATGGAGCAAAATATTTTAACATTGGACGTATTGAAGGATATTTTTGAACAATGGACCCAGAAGTTAATTTTAAGTGTGACTGCCTCTATAGACAGATTGTGTTTAAAAGATGTTATGGAAGAGGAACAACTTTTATCAGACAAAACTGAGACTGATCTGAAAACGGATTTAAAAATGACAGGCTGTGATATGGAAAAGATGCTACACTGGACATACAAAAGAAACTGGCTGATGTCTTAATAATTAAAAGGGATATATAAATAACAAACTAAGAGGGTAACCTGTATAACTTTCCTATGTTGGATTTACAAAAGAGGCTTGTTAAAGCTTTGAAGAATTTTGTGAGAAGGGTCAAAGAAAAAATGAAAATAAATCAAGTTCTAAACATTGTTTGATAGGACTAAAGATCAAGACTGTTAGAAGTAAAAGGAAAGAATATAACATTGGTTTATTTGATCAAGGTTAAAATATATATGTCATTATCTCTGGTAACTCTTCATGGACTTTTGCTGATCAGGACTGAATGACAAGGCTTTAAGGATTAGTTTATAGATAAGAGATGGGATACGGGAAGAAGAGATCATTGTTGTATTTTAAGAGAAGATAAGTTACTAAAATTGTTTATACTTGTAATGAAGGGGGAAGTCATT